TTTTTTTTACCCACGAAAGCTTACGCCCAAATAAATCTGTTAGTCTTTAAGGTGTCACTGGACTCCTCATTGTTTTTTTTAAAAAGTCAATGCCAATCCAAGGCCCTTAGTAGTTTACTAAATGTCCTTGCTGATTTCAGTATAAAGCCTAAAGACCTTATTTTAGGGCTGACAACTCTCATTAAAGTCAATTGAAAGGCTTCCCCCATACACTTGAATGGGATTTGGATTGGGCCTTAATTGGTGGGCCCCTCAGGAATTTTTATTCCCCCCACTACAGATTTTGCTTTTATATATTTATTTTGTTAATGTTGTATAGAGAACATGGCTTCAATACACACTTTTAAGTTAGAAGAAAATGAGTTTCATAAAGCACATTTGATTCAATTCAATTAATGCTGAATTTTAATTTTGGTTTGCAAGTTACATTCCATTTGGAGAAAATAGAGATAAATCATATGGCCTATTGATGACATACAAATGGTTTTAATCTGGGGCAGATTTACTTATAATTATTATTTGTATACAGTCCTAGTTTCACATAACCTGACGAGAACTCTTTTAGTAGGTTTCAGTTAAATATCCAAAATGTATCAAGATGTTGTGCACTGCATTTATTCCATGGCTGTAGCACAAATATGCAACAGGTACAGATGGATTAAGAGAGATCAAAATTATACAAAAACAATCTTGATCAAGCAGCACAGCCTCAATTTAAAATAAGCAATAGTTTACTCAGTGCTTCATGTCTTTATTGAAGTTGATTGAAAAATAGAGACTTGAGGTGAAACCCAACTCAGCCCTACGGTACATGTGCTAACTCATCAAGGAGCACGAACTGCTCCAAACCCCAGGCTTCTGAGCTAGCGTTAGAACAGGCCAAGGTCAGTCGTAGGTTGTTAGAACATACACGGCTTGCATATAAGGCAATCACAAAACGGAAGCTCTGAGGAACCCTGGTGCTATTGTGGGTTACAGTGTGCAACGGAGGGAGGGGAGGGGGAAGAGGAGAGATGTCAATTTTGGCTATTGCCTCCAGAAAATCTGAGCAACCACTAGATAAATTACATTAGGATAGATGCCCCCTGCACCTACCTCTGCTCTACCAGGGAGCGCACAGTCAGTGAGTACATAAAAAACAATCGTAGATGCTGTGTCGCCCTTTCCTCGCTTGTGGTGCTGGTCCCGCGCCCCCGACCCACTTACCTGCGCAGGCCCCCACCTGCCACACCTCCCCACGTGCACCCCTCTCTTTATCCCGTGCAGCAGGCGGCCCTTCCACACAGACCCCCCCCTTACCTGTGCTGCAGCCCCACCAGCCCTAAAGTGATCACATGGGGCACATCGAGCTCCGCGGGCCACGAGCCGGAGGCGATGCAGCCGAACACGCCGCACTCCTCCCGGATCCCCAGCTCCTCAAACTCCATAGCGCCCGGCCACCCCGCAGAAACACGTGCTGCCGCCGGCCCTTCAGCGCGGGTCCTGGCGGCCGCTAGCTACCTCCTGCGCGAGGCCAACTCCTGCTGCGCCGGCGCCGCGGCAGCTAGGGACAGGACAGCGTCGTCCCGCCCAAAAGCCCGCCACGGCCTCCCTTATTTACATACGGGGGTGGGGACTCTAACTGCCGCGCGTGCCATAGACGGGGGGGAGGTTTGGGGTCGCTGGGTTTGGTCTTGGAAACACAGTTCATCAGCGCGGACACCTCCCCCTTCTCCGTGTGCGCTTGGTACGTTCCGCTCTCCCACGTGCCGCTTCCCCAGACTCTCCGCTACCGTTACAGCCCGGCCGGTAGGCCCGGGGCAGCTCATGAGTGACAGCGGGGAGGGAGCGGGCCCAGGTACCCAGAGAGCAGCGTGGGGGAGTTGCATTGCCGCGAAGGAGACCAGAGGGCTTGGGGTTCGCACTGGGGCGGAGGGAGGGAGGAAGGAGGGGGGGACGTTGGCGCGTGTCCTGGGGGGAGGCGCGTGGAAGCTCTCATGGGGAGGGGTCATGGGGGGCAGCGGTCTGTGTGTTTGCCCCTGCGGGGGCGGATTCCTGGTCGGCACAGCCACTCTGCTGCGGCGATTGGGCTGGGCAGTCACTCCCCGCCCCTTCCGCTGCCCGCCTTTGCCCTGAGCGCGCGCTCACTGCGTCATCTCCTCAGTGAGCGTGACAGCGGGTGCGGAGCCGCCGCCAGCCCCACGTGCTAATTGGGCCTCTCTGTGTCTCGTAGGTGCCCGCTGCCCTGGCCGCCGCGATGGCTCCCGTAGCAACAGGTAACGTTCCGCACCCTCGGCTCCTCCGCGGCCCGGCGCGAGGTCTCGGGCGACCTTGGGGCTGAGTTCTGCGTCAGCCTCCCCCGAAGCTGGCGGGGCTCGGAGAAGAGCCCGCTGCCCCTCTCAGTCTTCCCCAGGGCGGCGGGGCTAGCGCTGCTACTGCGCCGCCTCTGCAGAGAGGCGCTCATGCGTGGGGCCGGGCCCAGGGCTCCCGGGGCTCTGCCGAAGAGGCGCCTTCCCCGCCCCGCAGGCAGAGAGGAGCAGCGGGCTGCGTGAGTGACGGGTGGCTCGCGCCAATTCACTCTGGCCAGGCTGGGGGGGAGATGCTCGGGCTCCCCCCAGCCGCACCGCCTGGGCTGATGGGTTATAAGGGGTGCGTGCAGCCTCGGCCCCCGGTGTAGACTCCGTGCGGAGGGGGGAAAGGTTTGGTTTGTTGTTTTACACCCAAACTAGTAAAGAGATTAAATGAAACATGAAGAACAAGACTCGCTGTGGCAAGTAGCTGGCTCCAAAGTTCATGAGGGTTGAAACAAAACTTAATAGAGCTGTTTTTATGGCCTCTGTTCTCCTTCGCTGTAAGTGGGGGCCTTTAGGTTTCCGGCTGCCCTGCCGTAGGTTTGGAAAGGACCTAACTCCAGAGCTGTAGCACGTGAAGCTAGCTATAATCCAGATAAATCCAGTTTCGCTCCAGGATGAGTGAAAAGCAAACATAGCATGAACATAATGACCTACCACTTTAAACTTTTTAGTTTGAACAGTCAAGGTGCTGATAACCCCCAATAAATCTTCAAATGTCACTTGCTTAAAATCATTCCTTCCTCTTTTAAGGCTGTCTATGTTATGAGCTAGGGGTCTGATTTCCCTGCTTGTATGCATATTCTTGCCCGCTGGCTAGCCCTTATTGAGCTGGCACAAGTATGAATAGCAGTATAGCACAGGTAGAGCCAGCAAGAGGCATTGCTGAGCGCTTTCAAGTATAAATCTGCCTGATGCCCTGGAAATATGCTTTTCTTCCCATTTCCTGAAGATGAAGTGATCAACTATACCCACCTATTGTCATACTGTCTTTTGAATAGAACTTCTCAATTTTCACTTGTACATTTGCTTGTTTAAACTTGTATTACTGTTAGGACAGACAAAAAGAATAAAAGGATGCATACAAAGAAATGTATCCAACATGTAAAGTCCTCATAGTGTAAGGAAACAAATCCTGATTGTTTTGCATCAGTGGAACCATTTGGCCAGTAGGCATGAGACTTTACAGACTTTTGTCTGTGCTGTTGGAACTGAAGTTTGAAGTGACTGCCCAGCTGTTGGAACTGAAGTTTTCCTTTTCTGCTGGTTTTCTAGATGGGCTTTAAATGTTCCTTTATACTCATTGAAGAAAATTTGAATGCTGGGGCATTGTCAGTTAGCTAGAGACCAGAAGGAGTATTCTATCTTGGTTCCCCAAAACGTACTTATACATATGATTTGCCCAAAATAATCATAATTTGCCCAAAATTTGTAATTTTAAAAATTAACTTTATTTCTCTAGAACTGAAACTTGGTAAAAAAATTAATGAAGGTAAAACAAAAGAAGTCTATGAGTTGCCCGATCTCGCAGGATGTGTGCTGATGCAATCAAAAGACCAAATAACAGCAGGAAATGCAGCTAGAAAGGATCACATGGAAGGAAAGGCAGCCATTTCCAATACAACAACTAGCTGTGTGTTTCAACTGCTGCATGAATCTGGTAAGTATTTTTAAAGGTAAAACAGATGCATTTGTGTTCTGTTATATATGGTGAGTCTTATGGAGTGATATGACTGTCTGAGAAGATGTAAATGTTAATTCACCTAGGTTTTGGAACTGATTGACTTCAGTAAATTTCCTTATATCAGTGTCCCAAAGAGTAATCTAAGATTATTGACCTAGGTTATGAAATAAAAATTAATGTATCATATTTGAAGACCTCCCCCAACCCCAGAAAGCTTCCATATGTATTATTGCTGTCTTCCTGGACACCATTCTCTTCCCTCCCCATCACCCACCTCATGCTTTCAATTCTCAGTTTAGAAGCAGATTGTGAGAGTTTGGCATTAAGCTCTTATTCCACACATCTGTCTGTGGAAATTACTACTGCTGGTCAGTGACCATATCAAAGACTGCATTTAAAATCAAAACTTTACCTAGCTTTACTAGAGTAAAACCATAATAAAAATGAAGACCTGGATGGATAAACTTCATTAAATGTTCTTGTTTTCTCAGTGTCTGCCATATCACTTTCAAAGACTGCGTATTGTTTGTGGCATAAAAAGTGTGCCAAGTGCTTTACAGGTAGCTGTGAAGAAGATACTTTATTTTGCAGAGTTTACAAGTAGCACATGGTGGATACTGAGGTGAATTGGAAATCTTAAGATTTACTTTTGGGGTTTCAAAAATGGCTTACCTTTTCATTCTGGAGAAGAGTATTGATGAAATATGAAAGTGATCCAAGTGAAATGTATTAAATATTTGTGAATGTTTTCTACATTTTCAAATATATTGATTTCATTTGTAACACAGAATACAAAGTGTACAGTACTCACTTTATATTATTTTTATTATAAATATTTGCACTGTAAAAATGGTAAAAGAAATAGTATTTTTCAATTCACCTCATACAAGTATTGTAGTGCAATCTCTTTATCGTGAAAGTGCAATTTACAAATGTAGATTTTTTTTTTTTTGTTACATAACTGCACTCAAAAACAAAACAATGTAAATCTTTAGAGCCTATAAGTCCACTCAGTCCTACTTCTTGTTCAGCTAATCACTAAGAAAAACAAGTTTGTTTACATTTGCAGGCGATAATACTGCCCCCTTCTTGTTTACAATGTCACCTGAAAGTGAACAGGTGTTCGCATGGCATTTTTGTAGCCAGCGTTACAAGGTATTTACATGCTAGATATGCTAAACATTGGTATGCCCCTTCATGCTTCGGCCACCATTTCAGAGTATGTGCTTCCATATTGATGACACTCGTTTAAAAAAAATGCATTAAATAATTGGTGACTGAACTCTGGGGGAAAATTGTCTCCTTCTCTGTTTTACCTGCATTCGGCCATATATTTCATATTATAGCAGTCTCGGATGATGACCCAGCACATGTTGTTCATTTTAAGAACACTTTCACTGCAGATTTGACAAAATGCAAAGAAGGTACCAATGTGAGATTTCTAAAGATAACTACAGCACTTGACCCAAGGTTCAAGAATATGAACTGCCTTCCAAAATCTGAGAGGGACAAGGTGTGGAGCATGCTTTCAAAAGTCTTAAAAGAGCAACACTCCGATGCAGAAACTATAGAACCTGAACCACCAAAAAAACAAAATCAACCTTCTGTTGGTGGTATCTGACTCGGATGATGAAAATGAACATGTGCCGGGCCGCATTGCTTTGGATCATTATCAAGCAGAACCCGTCATCAGCATGGACGCATGTCCTTTGGAATGGTGGTTGAAGCATTAAGGAACATGAATCTTTAACGCATTGGGCGTGTAAATATCTTGCAATGCCTGCTATAATAGTGCCATGAGAACACCTGTTGTCACTTTCAGGTGACACTGTAAACAAGAAGCAGGCAGCATTATCTCCTGCAAATTGTAACCAACCTTGTTTGTCTGAGCGATTGGCTGAACAAGAAGTAGGACTGAGTGTACTACAATACTTGTATTAGGGGAATTGAAAAATACTATTTCTTTTGTTTCTTACAGTGTAAATATTTGTAATCAAAAATATTAAGTGAACACTGTACACTTTGTATTCTGTGTTGTAATTGAAATATATTTGAAAATGTAGAAAACATCCAAAATATTTAAATAAATGGTATTCTAGCGCAATTAATCGCACACTCCATTTTTTTAATCACTTGACAGCCCTAGAAAGCACCTAAGTGACTTAGGATCATAGGTCACTTACATGTTTTTGACAACTTTACCCAAAGTAAACTGGGCTATAAAGGGTACAAAGCGCTATGTCTGGTGGTGTTTGCAAGATCACTACTTTAATCATTACCAAAAAAAAAACAGTGAATCTGCTTCATTCATTAGGCGCTAGGGAGGGGAAGAAACATCCCCTTACTAAACTGACCTGGGTATGCACTAGACTAAGGCTAGGTCTACACTACCCACCTGAATCGGCGGGTAGAAATAGATCTCACAGGGATCGAATTATCGCGTCTCGTCGGGACGCGACAATCGATTCCCCGAGAGATCGACGCTCTCACTCCACCAGCGGAGGTAGGAGTAAGCGCCGTCGACGGGGAGCCGCGGAGGTCGATTTTGCCGCCGTCCTTACAGCGGGGTAAGTCGGCTCCGATACATCGAATTCAGCTACGCTATTTGCGTAGCTGAATTTGCGTATCTTAAATCGACCCCCCCCCCCCTCCGTAGTGAAGACCTGCTCTAAGCAAAAATTGCAACTGCATCTGTAAACAGCAAAAGTATCCTTGGTTTCTCAGATTGGTCAACTGGTGACTAACTGGCACAATTGACAGAGTGTGTTAATGCCTTACGGGGAGGGGAAGGCAATTTATTTACTTTGCACCACTCTTCTGAACTGGGGTTTCTTTCAAAGTCCACAGGTGATACAAAAGCGGTGTCTATAAGTGGAGACTTCTGTTAATTTCTTCAACTCTTCTGATAGAAACAGAATTTGACTTGCAGTTATTGTGAGCTAAGAATAGCAGCTCTAAAATACACATTCAGGAAAAAGAGAAGGGTAATAAAAGCAGATGAGATGCACACTGAAATTTAAAAGTGACTTGATGTGCAGAATAACCACAATTTACAGTCTGATTGCACCGCATCAGATGATATGTTTAAACTAAAATGGACACCAGTGTAGATATTGAATCTTAAACATTTTGTTTGACCAAGAAGAAGAGCATCCTATTTTGGCCCTACTTGTCATCTCCTGACTTAAAATCAATTAACAGAACAACACTTGATTTATTACGTATAAACTGTCTTCAAACTCTGTGTTGAATGTTCTTTAATTTATCAGCAGAGGCAGTCAACCTGTAATCCTGAAAATATTAAACAACACACCCACCTTTAAGTGCAAGAAAGATTGACAAGGTTATATTAATCTAGCTGTTCTAGAAATCAGTCCTGTAATCCTAAAATTGCTTCATTTAAAGTATAGGTTGCCTTTTGTGAAGTAGAGTAAAAACACACTGTAACAAATTGTTGACTGGACTTTAACTTTGCTTTGAGAGTGAAGGCTTACTGTCAAATAGGACCAAAAATGACCACCTACACCTCAGAGCAACAAAAAAGTTTGAAATTGTTCAGAATTGGAATGGAACATATCCACTCTGGATTTACCAGATACTGGCTACTTTGATTTTGGCCATTGGCAGATGCCAAATCAGGGACTTAACAGTTGGCTTGGCCTGGCGAAAAAGGGTGGAGGTTTTGGAACTGAAGTAGGAGGGGAGGGCCACATCATACTCAGAATGGTGATTTGCACATCAGCTGCCTTTTTAAGTATCCAGGACTTGGACCAGTTGTCCCTTCTGAATTCATATAGAAGGGAATACCACAGATGTGCCATTTCATAAGCTACTGTATTGGTATATATTTGTGACTCTTCTTGGAAGAAACTAACAAAAGATTTAATTTGCATGTAGCTTTTTTCATTATCTGGAAAGTCCAGTATAGTAATGCAAATGAGGAGTAGCAAGTTTCCTTTTTCCGTCTTCCCCTCTTCCAAACCAAAGGTGTAGGGGGGAAAACAATGCTTTTATCTTTTCTGCTGCCTTCTATTACTGCCTCAGTAAGTCTCCAGTTACCGCCTTACATACACCAAGATAATGTAATAGTCAACATACTTTACACTGGGAGTATGTGCAGAGATGAATTCATAGCTTGCCACATACTAAGAAAACTATTCTGATGGTTGACTTTTAAAATTACTTAAGCTATATGTTTGTTTTCCTCCATGACATCTGTGCACTGTGACATAAGGACATAAACTAGCAGAAAGATGAAAATGGGCAGGCATCCAGTAGGAGCACTGACTTTGGTTATCTATAGCAGTGGTTTTGAATCTGTGGCCCATGGAACCCCGGGGGTTCGCAGAATTTATCTAAAATTTCCAAAAGGGTCTGCACCTCCATTTGAAATTTTTTTGGGGTCTGTAAATGAAAAAAGATTGAACACCACTGACCTATAGCATGATCAGGAAAAAATGTTCTATTGCAAAGTGATTTTAAACCAGTTCTGAAAGCACACTACAAACTAGTTTCTAAGGCTCTCTATAATGTACAGTGTATTTTGTTGGATGGAATTGGGGCAGTGAGTGCTTTCTGGACTGAGACCATTTTGTGTTTGTGGGATGTGGTGCTGGCCGCTTCCGGGAGCAGCGTGGGGCCAGGGCAGGCAGGGAGCTTGCCTTAGCCATAGCCCCGCTGCGCGCTGCTGCCACCCCGGAGCCTCTGAAGGTAAGCGGCGCCGGGCCAGAGCCCACACACCTGTGCCTTGAGCCCCTTCCTGCACCCCAACCCCCTGCCCTAAGCCCCCTCCTGCACTCCAAACCCCTGCCTTGAGCCCCCTCCTGCACCCCACATCCCTCCTGCACTCCAAACCCCTGCCCTGAGCCCCCTCCTGCACCCAACCCCTGCCCTGAGCCCCCTCCTGCACCCCACATCCCTCCTGCACCCCAACCCCCTGCCCTGAGCCCCCAACCCTCTGCCCTGAGCCCTCTGCCACACCCTTTCCTGCACCCCAACCCCTTGCCCTGAGCCCCTTCCTGCACACCGCATCCCCTCCCACACCCCAACCCCCTACCCCAGCCCTACATTCATGGCCCTGCATGCAATTTCCCCACCCAGATGTGGCCCTCAGGCCAAAAAGTTTTCCCACCCTGATTTAAGGTCTCTCTCACTTGGGAAGTAATCATCTTAGGTGTATTGTAGCTACAGAACAATACATTAAGGTCTTTGAGAAAACGGAATCTTCTGATGAAATAATTTTCTGATTGATCAACTATACGCCAGTCTGGTCACAGTTCTCAGTTCACTCATAGAAGTACACAGAGTAGCAAAACTGAGTTTTCTTTTTACATTTAGGAATCAAAACTGCTTTTGTCAGAAAACATGGCGACACAGCGTTCATAGCAGCTCAGTGTGAAATGATTCCAATTGAATGGGTGTGCAGAAGAATTGCTACTGGTTCTTTCCTGAAAAGAAACCCTGGTGTCAAGGAAGGATATAAGTTTTACCCACCCAAAATTGAAATGTTTTACAAGGTAAGTAAAACTATAACTATCTACTAAACAAAAGAAGGTGATGTGTTAAATAGTATCATTTTTACAAAATAAACTGAACATAGGAGCAGATGTAGTGCCTGAAACTGACTTCTGTCAATTTTTGTGGTTTTTGCACTTCTGTTTGTGTGTGTGCTCTCCTTATTGCTGCGTGCAAGATCCATACAAATATGAAACTGGCTAACTGATCCTACTGAAAAAATAATGAAACTGACTGTACATAACGCAAACAAAGGGGAAAAGAAATATCTATTATATTTATAGCAGCTATAAATACAACATTTTCAGACAAGTATATTTTTTAGGTTGACAAATGTCCCTTTAAACTGAAATGAAACTACTTACTCATGGATTTTAAGAAACTAGTATTGATTCTGTATTTTGCAAACGTTGCTAAAATGTCTTTCTTGAATATTCTCTTAGATCAGAGATTCTCCAACTAGTTCAGAAAGTCAACTGGTCACATAGTACAGGCTCATTGCCAGCATTTAAATCTCATTACAAAGCAGCTAAAAATGCATTAAACACTCTGTTACTCTTCAATGTAAACTACTGCCGTAATTGAAACGGGTGTGAGGTAAATGAGGAGGGGAGGAGGTCTTTTGATCACAAATGGGGAGACAGCATGCATAATAGTGAGTGAGAGAGGATGTGGTCAACAAGATAATCTATTAAAATATGGTCCATGTTATGGACTTTTTCTCTTGTCCTTCCTTAGATCACTTAAGCTGCCTCGGCATACCTACACCACTAAACAAATGAAACGTGATAAAGTGACAAAGGGAGTTCATGCATGATTTTCATTCTTGTGTTGGCAGGGTTTGGGAGCAAAGTGAAAGTGAGGTGATGCAGGAAACTCAGGAGGGTTTAATCTGCTGTACCAACAGTCCATGCTAATCCTGTTGGGGAATGGTGACTTTATATATACAGGGAGTTTAGCCTCAGTTCTTAATGTAACAAGATCATGGCAGTTAACTACACATCATGTGAGCCATCAAATAAAGGAAACCTCAACATCTTTATAGAAGGGTGTGGGGTCACAGCCCCACTATCATTGTGACAAGATAAGGATATATCTCTCCAGGGATTGGCCTGCTTAGAGAGGAGGTCCCACTCTGGGGGTAGGGAGTGGGAGGGTAAACCGAGAATGAGAAACTTCTGGTTGGACTGGAAGCAGAAGGGGGTGGGAAAAGATTATTTGAGGAGTGCTACACATTTCAGAGCATCAACCTTTTTATCTTTCTGACGTTGGCTTTATCCTTGTCCTAGAAGTCCTCTGCTGACAAAGTTCTTTTGGTATATGTAGTGTCTGGTTTGAGTAAATTTACAGGTAACCCCAGGCATTCAGCAGATTCTGGTCTCTGTATTCAGAATTTTTGAACAATCTTAATAGCATGGAAACATTGGGACCTCTTCTCTTATTCTGCTGAAAGGGACAAAAGCAAGCTGAGTTTGGTTAGGGAGCATTGGCTTCACAGTATGCTTCCTCGCAGAGTTCTGCAAGCTGGTAAGGGTATGGGGGTGAGAGAGAAATGGCACAGAGGGGATAGTGACCAGTCTTTAATAACTAGTCTGACTCTTCAGTGATATTCAGGGGTACTCAGTAGCAGAGAGGTTCCAAACAGAGTAGCTGCCTTGGGGCTGGATGGCGAATGGGCAGGGAAGACTTTCCCCAAGGGACTGTGATCTATTTTCTTGCATGCTGGCCACTTCAGGAGGCTTAACTTCTTTCCTTTGTGGGGAAAATGTGGCTAAAACTCTGGGAAGTGGTATCCTTGTGAAACTTGGAGTGTGTCTCTCTTTCCCTCCCCCCCCCTTCCCCCCCCAATTGGAGGGGAGCATGAAAGGACCTGGCCAGTAACCATCCTGGTGCTTCAGCAATATACAAGGGTGTTCCCTTTTGAAATCAGATGACAACCATACATCTTGTATATAGAAAGGTTGTATTCACTGCATGCTATGGCAAAATCTATACTTCAAGATTTTACAACAGTTGCTTTCATACAGCAACTTCTGTCCAATTCAAGATTAAAAGAACTCTTGAAAAGTGACTTAAAATATAGATCAAGTAGTCTTACTGTAATGTGCTGACTGCTTCCAAATAAGCAGGTTAAGAATAACATTAGAGTCAAATTTGCATTACTTGATTAAATACTAGCAGTGAAACTCCTCTTGGAATTTGTTAAAACTGAACTGTCTGTAGTCCAGTAGAAATAGATTTGTAGGCTAAGTGGTGGTTAGAGTTGAAAGGTGTACAGTGTTACAGTTTATTATTTTTATACCACATACAGTGGAGATAAAAGAAATATAGGCAGGCACACACACTCCTCCATTGCTGTCTGCTAAAGTATGAGTGGTGTAACCAGCTAATCCTTTAGGATTTATCAGGGTTTCTGGAAACATTCACTGAATTAGAAGTTTTGTGGACTATTGACCTAAAAATAGTTAAAGCTTTGTCTTAAACTCACTTCTGTGATGCACCTTCAAGACTTAACTTGAAAAAAGCATTGCTTACTTGAACATTATCTTAAAAGTCTTGCAGCTTGGATTTCTCAGTACTGTTGTGATTAAAATTCTTGCTAGGACTTGTTATCAAATATCAATTTAAAGCCACAAAACCTGTCTGTTACTGGATTTCAAATTGTTCTCTTCACTGTTTGCTAGGCTTTCTTTTAATCTAACTCAAGTCTGATGTAATTGTCATTAATTGATCTTATTCTATGCAAGTTTATTTTATTTCATTCTCAGGATGATGCTGCTAATGATCCACAATGGTCTGAGGAGCAACTAATTGAAGCCAAGTTCTGCTTTGCTGGACTTACTATTGGACAAACCGAGGTGGATATTATGGCCCACTCTACACAGGCTATTTTTGAGATACTGGAAAAATCTTGGTTACCCCAGAACTGCACTCTTGTAGACATGAAGGTATAAGAAAAAATCTATCTTGTAGATCATGGTTCTGAAAGTAGTGGAATATGTTTTTTGATGCTTCTTTACAGCTCTTGAAAATAGCTGTAAAGTTTACTTTTGTTTACTTTTGCTAGATTGAGTTTGGTGTTAATATAACTACAAAAGAGATTGTCCTTGCTGATGTTATTGATAATGATTCTTGGAGACTGTGGCCATCAGGAGACCGAAGCCAGCAGAAGGACAAACAGGTAATACTATTACCATTTTGGGTCTGACTTAGAGATAAAAAACAAAACTACATCTCATTTTGGCGCGGGGTGGGGGGCGTGTAGACAGCGTTCAAGCAACTGCTGTGAGTTGCTTTCCTTAGCTGTCTAGGCTTATGCAAGGTAGGCCACAAAGCATTTAGGGTCTGATCCTGTTCACGTCAATGGCAAAACTTCCATTGACTTTAATGGCAACAGAATCAAGTCCTTAAGGATGCCTGTATCGTTAATAGGAATTTCCGCAATATTTTCTGGTTTTATCATAGTGCCCTGTGTAGTGTTAAGTCTGCAGGGATCTCCAGAACTTCTGGCAATGTACTCCTCAGAGTGTGAACTATTCAAATAACCGAGTAACACAAACACACACTTATAAAGTACTAAAAGTCAGAAACATGCCATGAAGATGAAAATTGGTTCACCAACATGTCCCACGTTTCTCCTTTCAGAGCCTCTTGATTTGTCTAGGCCAAAGTTTGTCCTGTTTTAACTCAGTTTAACTGATAACTAACATTGATATAATTGCTGGTCTAGACCAGTGGTTCACAGCCAGGAGTATACATACTCCTGGGGGTACACAGGTCTTCCATGGAGTACATCACCTCATCTAGATACAGTATTTGCCTAGTTTTACAACGGGCTACATAAGCAGCACTAATGAATTCAGTACAAACTAAAATTTCATACAGACAATGACTGTTTATACTGATCTATATATCATACACTGAAATGTAAGTACAATATTTATATTCCAATTGATTTATTTTATAATTATATGGTAAAAATGAGAAAGTAAGCATTTTTTCAGTAATAGGGTGCTGTGACACTTTTTTGTATTTTCGTCTGATTTTGTAAGCAAGTAGGGTTTTTTAAGTGAGGTGAAACTTGGGGGGTATGCAAGACAAATCAGACTTCTGAAAGGGGTACAGTAGTCTGGAAAGGTTGAGAGCCACTAGTCTAGACAGTCCACAGATGTTTGTTTCCTGGAACAAAGGTTTGTGGTTTATGCTAAGCTGAATCCATTGGGGGGCACCATTTTAGCTGCATTGAATGCTGCTTTCATGGAACTTCTGTGATTTTAGTCACTTCCACTAATAATGTAGACACTCCCCAATAGGCACAAGCTGCCATAACCTATGTCTATGATAATCCAAGATACAGCAGTGTTCCAGTGCCATTACTAACCAGTTTAAACTGGAAAGCCACATTAGGTCCACTTCCTTTAAAAACTGAATGAAATGAAAAATTATGGTGTTTCCTCTTCACTCATTTCAGCTGTTATACTACAGAATGCGTCTGAGCAAATCCTTGGTGTGGTGGAATCGACCATTACTATAACTTGGGGGGGTTGTTAGGTGTTGGCTGTACTTTACTGCAGTTGCTGTCCTGTGACTGAAGCTCTGCTTCCAAATTAAAATTAACGTGCCAAAGCAGCATGGTGTATATTTGCAAGGAAGCCAACAACTGACTTCAGTTGGGCATGAGAGGACTGGCTAACACATCATGGCTGAGGCAACCAAGCACAGGAGTTGAGTTTTCTCTCAGAAAGGAATTGACTGAACTAGGGGGTATTCTGACTCTACTATAATGTGGTGGACAATACTGCTTGCTGGAGCTAATGGCTCAGAATTTGAGATGTGGGGATTCCCTTGATGTCATGTTGGCCTCAATTCACGGGGAAGAAGCTATTGTAGAATATATATATTTTTTTTTCAAGAAACAGGTGTTTGAAAGATGGCATACATTTCTCTAGCCTCTGGTAGTTGGATGGTTGCACCTGGTTGAATATTTAAGTAGAAAAATGATGGACCATCACATTTCCAAATAGAACATCAGGAGTAACTTGCTATCTGTGTATTTCAGTCTTACCGTGATCTAAAAGAAGTGACTCCTGAAGCGCTGCAGATGGTTAAAAGAAACTTTGAATGGGTTGCAGAAAGAGTGGAGGTACCCCCTGTTTATATTAACTGTAGTCTGTGTAGAAATTGACAATCTTGTGGACTCTCTTAAAATACTGTGGTTCATTTTCCTTTCTTTCCACTCCAGTTGCTGCTGAAAACAAAGAGCCATGGTAGAGTTGTGGTGTTGATGGGATCGTCTTCTGATCTTGGTCACTGTGAAAAAATTAAAAAGGCATGTGCAAACTTTAGTATTCCTTGTGAGCTACGAGTGACATCTGCTCACAAAGGACCAGATGAAACTCTGAGGATCAAGGCAGAGTATGAAGGTAAACCCTGAATAGTCCTGTATTAAGTTTAGAACCAATAACTATAGTTCTGCAGATTCCTGAGAACTTTGCCACAAACTGTGCACAAAGTTTATCGCCCTCTTCTTTATAACCACCTTTTACGTACGTGAAGACTTATCATGTCTCCCCTTAGTCTTCTCTCCTACAGACTAAACCCAGGTTTTTTTTTTTTTCTTCAGTCTTTCCTTTATAGGTTGTGTTTTCTAGAACTTTAATCAATTTTGTTGCTCTCCCCTAGATTTTCTCCAACTTTTGGTGCCCAGAACTGGACACGGTGTTCCAATTGAGGCCATATCAGTGCTGAGTAGAGTGGAAGAATTAATATTTTTTTGTCTTGCTTACAACACTTCTGCTAATACATCACAGAATGGGAGGAGGGGTGTTTTTTGCAGCAATATTACATACTTGACTCATTTAGTTTGTGGTCCATTGTAACACTCAGATCCTTTTCTGCAGGACTCCTTCCTAGGCAGTCATTTCCCCTTTTTGTATTTGTGATTATTCCTTTCTAAGTGTAGTACTTTGCATTTGTCCTTATTGAACTTCATCCTGTTTATTTCAGACCATTTCTCCAATCTATTGAGGTCATTTTGAATGCTAATCCTGTCCTCCAAAACGCTTGCAACCCCTTCCTGTTTGGTATTGTCTGCAAACTTTATAAGTGGTACTCTGTATCATAGTCAACAGCGCTTTCTCCCGCATCCAGGCCTGTCTAAGTCTAACCGCTTCTTTCTCCCTCAAAATCTGGCCTTCCTCTCTATCCCAACAGCTAAAATGCTTTCTCAGGCCCAGATCATCTCAACATCTTGGATTACTGCAATGTCCTGCTACATACACACACGTTATTCTGTTTATTATTCCTTATTCTGTTTTAAAAATGCCAGCTGCTAAACTGAAGTCTCCCCTTCATCTAATGTCATCTTTTTTGGACCACACCACTGGCTGCCCTTCGTGCACTGCAGCTGGGTGGAAAACCATATCTTGTGATGCCCACAGAATAGAAAACAATGAATAATGGGGTGGACACTAGTACAGTCTATCAAAAAACCCTTAGATTTTATTTAAAAACCATGTGCCTTGACTGAACATGAGTAATATCACGTGTTGCTCTTACATGCCCATGCAAGCATAGGTCTGCAGGTACTTCCATGCACCATTGTATACTCTGTGCATGTAGATCTGGGAGTCGGGGCACAGTGTGGGCAAGCACAGATTTTTCCAGATGTTATTTAGAGGATCTTATCTTGAACTTTGCAGAACTGATATTCACTAATTTTGTTGCAACAGGCCAAAGTTTTTAATTAATAAAGAATCCAGTGATTCAACAGTTTCCATTAAGAAATGGCCAGTACCCACCATTATCATGAATCTTAAAGGTTTTCTTCCCCTGCTTGAGAAAGGGGTTAGGTGCATGAGTTGCCCCTAGTGTGCTACTTCTGTAGATGGTGTAACGAGCAGTGACTGACAGTTACTGAATATTACTATAGGGAATTACAACATTGTATTCCACAAAAGAGAAATCTGAGCAGCAGTAAAACTAAACTGACTTATAAAAAGAATTTCAAAAAAAGGTGTTTGTGTTGGGGGGGGAGGGGGGGTGGTATTTAGACAGCCTTTCCATGAAAGCAGGTGGGGGAAAGGAAAAATGCATAGATATTTCTCTCCCCCCTCCCCCCATTGGTTTTTTAAATTTACTTGTTAACGCTTGTGTGTGTGTGTGTGTGTGTGTGTGTGTATTAGGTGATGGAATCCCTACTGTGTTTGTGGCGGTAGCTGGCAGAAGCAATGGCTTGGGACCAGTGCTGTCTGGTAACACGTCATATCCAGTTGTCAACTGTCCTCCTCTCTCAGCCGATTGGGGTCCTCAGGATGTCTGGTCTTCTCTTAGACTGCCCAGTGGTAAGAAGCATCATGTTGACCTATGGTACATGTAGTTACATTCTTGTAGTAATTAGCCCCCCCTTTTTTTAAATACTGGACACATCTGCCAGATTCAACAGTGCTGAAAACGCCTTTGTCCCATTTTATATTGTCGGTTCAGCCAGTGCTGAAGATGGTTTGGTGGGGTAAATCTTGTTGACTGTTGTCATTAAAATTTCAATTTCCTGGCATAGATGGAGGTGGAGCCTTAGAAAATCAAAGAGGAGTAAACTTAACTTTCATTATATTCTTACTCAGACAACTGAAGTTTAAAATAGGTATCGGAATTAATGAGACATCTTTAAAAAAAAAAAAAAAAAAAATCAGCTTGACGTTTTACCTTCATGAAACTGTTTTAGTATTCAGAGTAGCAGCCGTGTTAGTCTGTATCCGGAAAAAGAACAGGAGTACTTGTGGCACCTTAGAGACTAACACATTTATTAGAGCATAAGCTTTCGTAGGCTACGAAAGCTTATGCTCAAATAAATTTGTTAGTACTCCTGTTTTAGTATGTTTGTTAACCTAGCCAACTGATCATATAAAACTAAAAGATCCTTGCTGTGATGCTTTAATGTAGAAAGAATTACTCTGCTGTGAAAATACGTCAGTTCTAGGGGTGCATGTAGCTTGAAATTAAAAACTGCATTTTCATAGACACTGAACAGTTCTCCTTATACATTCAGTAGTCTATTCAGATTTCAAGGTATCTGCTGACTTAATCATTGTTGTCAGTAGTTATAGCAACATTGAATGCGAGAGGCTAAGGGGTTTTCAGACTGGGGGGTCGCAAGCTGTCAGCCTCCACGCCAAACCCCGCTTTGGCTCCAGCATTTATAATGGCGTTGAATATATAAAAAGGTGTTTTTAATTTATAAAGTGGGGGCATTGCACTCAGAGGCTTCCTATGTGAAAAGGGTCACCAGTACAAAAGTCTGAGAACCACTGACCATACGTATGGGATGGATTTTTTTTTTTTTTTTTTTTTTTTTAAATCCTCAAAGGGAAGGGAATTCCACTTTCTTCAAATATGCAGAAAGATTTGGGGCATGTTGAGACTATCAGTTGAAAACTAGCAATCTTGTCTTGTTTGGGAATGAAGGAATAAGGTGAGAATCTTTAGGGTTATTGAGGTTGCTTATGCTTTACCTTTTTTAAATTAGACTGGACAAAGTAATTAAAATAAAAAAAATCCTGCAGTAACCCTCACGGCCTGAAAAATTACTTGTTAGTAATTTTTATGATCATTATAAATCCTATTTGGATAACAGATTGGATTTTTTTCTTCTGCAACAGGTCTTGGCTGTCCTACTATACTCTCACCCGAAGGAGCTGCCCAGTTTGCTGCTCAGATTTTTGGATTAAGTAACCACTTGGTGTGGGCCAAGCTGCGCTCAAGCATGTTGAATACGTGGATCTCCTTGAAGCAAGCTGACAAAAAACTTAGAGAATGCACCTTATAAATAAAGTGTTAAAAGGAAAGTAATGCATACCTTATATTGGCTACGTAAAAAATAGTGCCATGTGCAAACTGTCTTCATGCTAGGATCTTCATGTGGATCTGTTGGAAATCTTAAACCCTTTGTTGTATAAGATTATACATCTTGTAGATGATAGTCTCTACAATTGGTCTCGTTTTCTGTTTTTTAATAAATGAAAGCATACGGGATAGTTGTTTGACTTGCTCACAATTATGTTCTGCTTTAGTCCTTGTATACTGCTTTAACTACAGACTACATAATATCAAAATGAAGGTTTAGTGCAATGTGCACTGGAATTTATCAGTTTTCCCTAGCAGCATTACTACAGAATGTTACTGATGAAGCTTGGATTTACTAACTCCACTGAATGGACTACCAATCCAAAACAAAAAATGTTTATGCTGTTCTGCTTGCAGTTATGAAAATGTGCTCCCTAAGCAATAACGTAGCCGTAGATTGCAATCCTAACTGGAAGACAGTTCTGGAATGGACTCAGACATCCAGCCTCCCTATTCAGAGATTGTAAAAGTGTATGGAAAAAGCCAGCCATATCACAAGATGGGATGTTAGTTTATTTCAATATTTCCTGAAGCAATGTCCTCATATTAACAATAATGCTCCTTATATAGCAGCAGATGAGATTAACTCGGAGTAGTAATCATGAGTTCAAAACTGACTTGTAAGCCTTTTGTCCTCTGTTCAAGTACAATTAGTTCTGCTTTAAAGAGCCTCTGATAAGCTCATAGCAGACTTCATTTTTAGAAAATGTGGGGGTGTCTTTCTCCCCTTATTTTTATAGTGAGAAAAAGTTGGTTGCTAAGGAAACTCTCATAAAATAATTGAAGGTGGAAATAAACAATTAAGTGAAATAATAATGAAATCTAAGCATGACTTTTTTTCCTTCATGAAACTCTTGTTTTTAATTAGGTCAGCTTTATTACAGTACTGATTCTAACAAACATGCAATTTCCCAACTAATGTAATAGCATATGCTTTTAAAATTACAAATAAACTGTTAAATTCCAATTTGCTTTATGCAGAGGTTTCTCCAGTGGGTATATTCATGCTAAATATCTAGATTTTTTTTTTTAAATTACATGCCATGGCTGATACTAAAATTAAAATAGCTGTGCTAAACAACTTGCTTGACTTGGTGCTTTACAACTACATGCATGCAGCACTACTAACATACAACCAACTTTTGCAAAGGGCAGTATCAGGCAGCACACTGTTGCTTTGGAGGGGGAGAGGAGACTTTGACTAGAGATACAGAAACAAGCCCCTATGCCTACAGGTAGTCAGTCCCATGGGTGCTTTCATAGTCTCATTGATATATGGAGCCTAAAGTTTTGCTTACCTCAAAGGCCCACACACAATGACCTTTATGATACTTAATTTATCTACTATGGAAAGAATGAAGAACTCAGTTCATTCTGCTGGGATTTGAACCTCTGATCCCTGAGAGTTTAGGAAGAGGTTTATGCTACATAGCTATTGTGACAGGAAACATGTTTGGCATTACAGAGGCTTCTTGTGGTGGTGGTCATCCATTAAGATACTGTAATAGAGAACATGGACCACGTGGCATGGTGCAAGACCTGAGGCCTGAACCAAAGGCTGGGAATCAGGCCATGTATTAAACCAGATGCTTACAAGTTCACTGTCCAGTACATGAACTTAGCAAGGCTAGCAGTACTCTTGCCAAAACACAGGCACTCCTAAGAAGCATCAGGTACTGGGTATGTGTGTGAAGATGTTCCAAAAGCTTAGCACAGGTACATCTTCACCTAGTACAAGATGAGGGTTTGACAAAAGTGATAATTATGGATGTTTTGCCTGAGACAACTGGTACAAGGGGAGGTAACAAGCAGTTGTTATGAAACATGTAAGGTGGTATGTAAGTTATTTGTCTCAGTCTATAAATGTATGGATACATTACCTTAACCCTTTGTGTGGCTGAGAGGACAGCAGAAAATCCCACTGCTGACTGAGCTGCCCTTGGCACTCCTGTTACTGTACCTGTAATGAGGAAGCCAGGGCACTAGTACTGTGCCTTTGAGGGCAATAAAGCTGGCTGAGTGCCTTTGTCACTGAACTGTGCCTGTGGTCTTTGAGGTATGGGCTGCACTATCTGCTAGTGCTGATAACACTCAAGCTCTAAAAACAAGCATTGAGCAGCTGCAATAGCTTAGTAGCCTGAATGGCATTACTGTGGCAATGATATTCCAGCCTTCAGCCACTTAACAGTTAAAAGTGCCCTTAACTCTGCCAAATAACTTTCAGATACAATTACAAATTTGACTATTCTAACATTTGCATTGTAGGTTTTAGGAATGGAACATGCCTATTAAGCCTTAATTGAGTAACTTTCTAAAATGTAGGTACGGGTAATACCCCCTCGCTCAGCTGAGGTAGGTTGTGGTCATGAATAAACTTAGATCTTGACAAAGTGGATTTAGAAAAGAATGGGATTGTTTTGCAATTATTCAATAAAGAGAATCTTTAATGTAGTGTGTACATTCAGTCAAAGAATATTAGTTTGACTAGAATCGTCTCTATTTTCTAAGTAACTTCCAAAGTTCCCTTGTACTTGAGCATATACTACTACCTTTCATTTCTATACTATCACCTCTGAGGCTATCAAACTGCTTTGCAAAGCTGGATTATTATCCCCATTATATTTTGTAGTACTGTAACTGAGCAAGACCATCAAAGTTGAAAACAGAATTTAGTGCTTTTGACCCTCATATGGTCATGCTGTGGGACTTTGCTTCCCTTTAAACTTTGCTGATCACCAATGGCTTGGTTTTCTGGTCATAATTAGACCTGGCAAAACAAAGCTATTCTGTTCTGCTGTAGAAAATTGGGCAATGATAGTAAAGAAACAACTTCTTTCAGAAGTCTCTTTACTCTAAATGACAGTCTAATGGTATCTTTTCTATACTGTGCATAGCACAATAGGGGACTGTACTAGAAAATAGTTTGCTGGAGTCTAGCAAAACATACTGAACATGTCCTCTGTGTTTAATTCTTTTCCTTTCCTTATATATAATAGTTTCTGCCATGTGTGTCCTGAATATTCCATGCTCCCCAGAGTCACTGAACACTTTTTTTTTTTGAGATCCATTTCTATCACCTAGAACAGGGGTGGGCAAACTATGGCCCGCAGGCCAGATCCAGCCCATCAAGGCTTTGGATCTGGCCCATGGGATTGCCACCCCCATGGTGGCGTGGGCCCCACATCCCTGCAGCCCCTGGGGGGGAGGGGCAGAGGGCTCCGTGCGCTGCCCTCACCTCCAGGCACTGCCCCCCTACACACACACCCCACAGCTCCCATTGGCCAGGAACAGGGACCCGCAGCCAATGGGAGCTTTGGGGAAGGTACTCGCAGGTAAGGGTAGTGGGTGGAGCCCTCTGCCCGCCTTCCCAGGGGCCACAGGGACGTGGTGCCGGCTGCTTCCAGCAGTGGCGCAGGTCCAGGGCAGGCAGGCAGGGAGCCTGTCTTAGCCCTGCTGCACGCTGCTGCCACCCCAGAGCCACTCCAGGTAAGCAGCACCAGGCTGGACCCCACACCCTGAATCCCTCCTGCACTCTACCCCCCAACTCCCTGCCCTGAGCCCCCTTATACATCCTGCACCCCTCCTGCACTCCACCCCCAGCCCCCTTATACATCCCACACCCCTCCTGCACCCCAATCCCTTGCCCTGAGCCCCCTCATACAACCTGCACCCCTCGTGCCCCCCAAGCCCCTGCCCTGAGCCCCTTCCTGTACACCCCAGCCCTACATTCATGGCCCTGCAAGCAATTTCCCCACCGAGCTGTGTCCCTTGGGCCAAAAAGTTTGCCCACCCCTGACCTAGAACACATCTTAGTGTATATGCAGTAATCAGTTTAATGCTGGTTATTAGCTGAATTTTTTTAAATATTTTTGGCTCTGATATCTTCTGAGAAGTGGTTTCTGCTTCATAAAAATCAAGGGAAGATGAGGATTTAGAGATTTCTGACATTTTGACAAGGGGGGTTTCCTGCTTATGTTCAAACCTTTTCTCTCCCCAGCTCTTGGGCTTTATTACATTAATTGAAGAAATCTGAAGTTTTCAGTCTTCTACCACAGAGCTGCTGTGATTATTGAAATCTAAGAGGAGTAACATGTATTTTCAACTATAGATGTTTTTAAAAAATCAGCTTCTTAAGTGGCATAATTAGGAAGTACATGAAATCTTATTCTTTATAAGTGTAGTAAAAGACTTCCATTCATATAACAAACTTTTGGCTTATGCTACCAGAAATGTGAACACCGTAGAAGTCAGGGGGTGTCAGGGTTCCCTCCCTACTCTGAACTCGGGTACAGCTGTGGGGACCCACATGAAAAAAACCCCTAAGCTTATTTCTAGCAGCTTAGGTTAAAAACTTCCCCACGGCCCAAATCCTTGTCCTTCTACGGGTATTGCTGCCACCACCAAGTGATTTAGACAAAGATTCAGGAAAACGACCACTTGGAGTTCCTATTTCCCCAAAATATGCCCCCAAGCCCCTTCACCCCCTTTCCTGGGGAGACTTGAGAATAATATACCAACCAATTGCCTTTAATAAAAGTACAAACCAGACCCTTTATCTTTAGGACACTAAAACCACGTAGGGTCTTAAAATAACTTTATTATAAAGAAAAAAGTAAAAGAAGCACCTCTGTAAAATCAGGATGGAAGGTAATTTTACAGGGTAATAAAAATATTTAAAACACAGAGGATTCCCCTCTAGGCTCAACTTCAAAGTTACAAAAACAGGAATAAACCTCCCTCTTAGCATAGGGAAAATTCACAAGCTAAAACAAAAGATAGTCTAACGCATTTCCTTGCTGTTACTTACAATTTCTGTAATTTTAGATGTATCATTTCAGGATCTTTTTAGGAGCTGGTTTACCTGCTTGGTCTCTCCCTCTCTCTCTATCCCAAGAGGGAACAAACAAAGAGAGCACAAACAAAACCTTCACCCCTCACCCCCCACAGATTTGAAAGTATCTTCTTTTCCCATTGGTCCTTCTGGTCAGGTGCCAACTAGGTTAATTGAACTGATTAATCCCTTACAGGTAAGTGATCCTGTACCTCTGGCCAGGAGGGATTTTATGTTACTGCATACATAAAGGTTGTTACCCTTCCCTTTATTTTTATGACACGGGTCTTAAGGAGTATTGGTCCTAAATAGAGTTGATTGGGAATTTTCCAACAAAACACATCAGAAAATGCCAATTTGTTGAAACTGCTCAAAAGAAAGGTGGTTTTGATGACTTTCCAGTTTTGAAATTTTATTTGAAAAGCGCTGCCTTCTTTAAAAATTGTTTTCTACTTTCCATGTCTTCACTGACATAATACAACTCTCTAATTTCATACCTATATTTTCAAACATTTTTTCATTTGGATGTTTTGTCTAGAAATTTGCAACAGAGATATTTACTTCTGGACTCCTGAAAGTATTTGCTCTAGTGAGCGTGAAGTGTTTTTTTTTTAAATTCTGCTCAGGAAAAAAAGGAATAGCAGGTGAGCGATGTGGATGTACTTAACAGGGGGTTGCAAAAAAAACCAAAACAACAAAAAAGCGTTTTTGGGGGGGGCAGGGGATGGTGCTTTGATGTATGAAGGAAGCTTGAATGTTTTATATTAAAAATGTACATCTACCCCATTTTTCCTGGAAGACCAAACTGGAGACCTAGTAAGACCCGGACATCAGACACTAAAAGTGAAACTGGAGTTAGTGGGGACAGTGATTTTTGTTCACTGTTCAAAATTCTACTTTGACAATGTCTAGTGTAATTAAAATAGCTTTATATACAGTTGGCAGAAAATAATTGTTTTTGTGAATTCAGCAATGCTATCTTTCCAGTTTAGGTCTGAGAACCACGCAGCAATTTCAGGGTAGCAAGAATAGATGTCAACTGCTCAGAGGTAGGGGAAGTCCAGATGACTCCCTCCCCCGCTTTTACATAAGAAAACACCACCACCCTTTAAGTAAAAGGGGCACAAACTCAATTTCATGTGTCT